ATAATTAGAAGTTCCAAAACAACAAAAGACATTAACATTCAAAATAACAAAAGATAATAACATTCAAAATAAAAAAAGTTTGCCCTTAGTGATTAACTTCTGCACTTATTTATTCTTCTCCATTGCCTTTTTCTTTCCCACTGGCATCTTCTTACCAACAATCTTGTTCTCCACAGCCTTGGTTCCCCCTATTGTTGCTGCAATCTAAGATATAAAAAGCAACAAACTAATTATAAGAGATAGTATAGTTAAAATATGCGAAGCAAATACTGATTATATAACATGCTTGCCTTTTTTGTAACTTGTAATTTCTTTCTTGTTGGTGGTTTAATTCCACTGAAACTTGTATGAACTGTATCTTGACTTGGACCAATTGTACCTTGACTTGGCTGAATATATCACAAAAAATAAATTAACAGTGAATTAACTAATTGAGAATTTGTATAGCAAATACTTACTGGGGGAATTTCAAAGCCAGAGCATGATCTGGAACTTTGGCTTTCTTGCATTGGAGCTTCAACTGGAATAGCTCCATGTGTTTCTGATCCCTTTCTCTACATTAACATAGTGGAGATATTTCAGATTAATGAAATTAAAATAACATATATAATTGAAAATATTAAATGAAACCAAATAAATTTACCTTTTTTGCATTGCTCTGTTGTCCACTAGCATTCTTCAAGGGACAGCCCCTAGCATTATGTCTTTGTTGATGACAAAGGCTACAAGTCATTATCAATCCTTGTCTTTCCAATTTTCCAATTTTTGTAATGGTTTTGCATGATTGGGTCTGCCTCTCTTTTGGTCCATTGACTTCACCGGGCTGCAACTTTCTTTTGTGCAATTTTGGTCTACCAGGCATCTTTTCAATGTCTGGAGGAAGTAATTTTTGCCTCTGAGATCTTGGCCAAGCATCACTACCCTCAATTGCATCCATCAGATGACTGTACACCTTCAAGTAAGTATCTTTCTTATACCAGTTTTCAACAAAATCTTCAGGTGTATAGCTCATAATACATTGCTGAAATGGCATGTGCACATGGAATGCCACTGAGTTGCCATCTCCTGCAACTACATGTTTTCTCATCTATATTCACCTTAAGTCTGTCACCATAACATCCCTCCAGTTCAAATTGATTGTGCCCATTCCAATGTGCAATGAACTCCATAGACTTTTCCTTCAAAAAATCCAAACGTTTTTGGATCACAGGGCATATGTCTCCATTGTGTTTCAACATTTTATCCCTTCTCACATGAAGTCTCTTCATCAATATTAGCCTGATATCCTCCAGCATATCTATTATAGGCATACCTCTAGCTCTCACAAGTATTGCATTAAAACTCTCACACATATTGTTCAATAAAGTGTCACATTTAGAGTTTGTGGAGAAAAAAGACCTGGACCAATTAGCTGCTGGCCTTTTAGCAAGCCACTGAAATGCAGCTTTGTCTTTAGTACCCAAATCTCTCATAATTCTTTCAAAATCTACAATCCTTGAAGCCCTTGCAGCTTGCCATAAGATGTTTTTCAATGCCAGACCTCTATGTGAAAGTTTGAAATTGGAGTATAAATGCATCACACAGAATCTATGTTCACAATTAGGCATTAGCAAATCAACTGCATCAATTAGCCCCTTCTGTTTATCACTCATAATGGTCCACCCCCCTGATTCCCCTATCTCTAAGTCTGTTTTCAGTAAATCAACAAACCAAGTCCATGAGTCTTTCTTTTCTTTCTCAACTACAGCATATGCAAAAGGATACATGCCATTATTGGCATCAATTCCCACAGCACATAAGAGTATCCCCCCATAGGTAGACTTCAAATGACAACCATCAAGAAATATCATCCTTCTACAGCCTTCCATAAGTCCTCTCTTCAAAGCCCCCCAACAGATATATATCCTTTTGAATCTCAAATCTTCCCCTGCAGGCTTGGTTTTGATTTTAATTGTAGTGCCAGGATTAGTTCTTCTAATTTCTTCTGCGTACCTCCAAATTAAACCATATTGCTCAACATGTGTTCCTCTATTCAACTCATTTGCCCTCTTTGTTGCCCTATACATCTGATGAGTGCTAAACAACAGTTTGCACTCTTTTTTAGCAGCAACCATCATTGAATTGATTGGCCAATTTGGGTCTGTCCTCAGCTTGTCTTGATATTTGGAAGCCAGCCAATTAGAAGTTGCAGCTGTTACCTTCTCCTTTCTAGTGCACTCATGAACTGAATGTATGGTTTTGACTTGCAAGGTAAGTTCACCTCTAATTTGTGATGCATATATCATCCAAGGACAGCCTTTATGCTTACATATTGCTCGCACTTTATCCTTATCATTCTTCTTGTATTTTAAATCCCTACCATGTACTCTTGAGTGTTGTTTAATAGCAGCTCTGAAAGTGTCTGCATCAGGAAAGCATAAACCTAGCTCAAAGTGAGGGTCATCCATATCTAATTTTGGGTTAAACACAGGGAAGTTGTTGTGTGTTGCCTCAATTTTTTTAGGCTTCTCAACAACAGGTTGTTTTCCCTTGTTTAACCTCTCAGATTTTCTAGGGACATTCACTGTTGGCTCTCTAAATCCACCCCATTCAACTCCAATATCAATATTTTCATAGAAGCTCACATCATCTTGAGAATCAAAATATTCACTATCAGCCAAGAAATCTGAAAGATCTGAATCATCCCCCACAGACTGCACATCACTACCCCCACTGTCCCTCATATCCATCAAACCACCATCATTAACCAGCAGATCATCCAAAAAAGAATCAAACTCAGTGTGGTTCTCACCAACAGGTTCATTAACCTCATCATCAGACTCATCAACTGGTTCAGTGCCTTCGTTGGGTTGGATATTTTCATCATCAGCATCACCAATATACCCGGTTTCTTCATCATCAAATGGATACTGATCCACTAATTTATCAACTGATCCTTCACTCTCAATAGACTTATTTTCATAATCATCCAATTCTATATGTCTGACATAAATGACAGTGACTCTTTCTTCATCAATAAAATTCACCAAATTCATGGCATCATGATCATCATCCATTAAGACCAACTCACTATAGTCATTCAGCCTACCTCTACTGTGATAAAATCCAAAAATATCAATTAACCCCAACTCCTTGGACATTGCAACAATTTCTAACATGGAGATTTCATCTTCTGAGCAAAAGTCAAAGTAATTAACAGATCCACTTAAGTAGCAAATTGAACCTAAGTTCAATAGTTTACCGGAGTGGTGCATTCGGATTGTGAAATGATCAGAATTAGACCCTGCATTATATAGCATTTCATCATTAATTCATATTCAAATTAAAAAAAAATCAGAAGAAAACAAACAAGTAAGCAACCTTATCCACAATAATAAACAAACAAACAAATAAACCCAAAGATTTATAACAAATAAGCAAAAAAAATAGCATAACATACAAAATACTATGGTCCACACCCAAAAAGTTGTCATTTTTAAATTAAAAAGCCAAATAGAACATGGGGACCCCAGAATAAACAACATTGTCCAAGAAAGTAGAGAAATAAACAACACTATCGATGACAATAAACAAACAAACGAATAAATTACAGAACCCAAGAATTTAAAACCATGTTCTTTAACAAATAAAAAAAATAACTATTACCGTAATCTGGGGGGCCGTCTCCATCAGCCCTTAACTTCCAAACCATGTTGCTGATAAACAATGTAGACAATTGTGTTCAAAATGAATAATTTCTTGTGGAATGAAAACCCTAGATTTTCAGAAGGGGAAAGACAGAAGTGTAGAAGGGTGAACAGACTATTTAGTGCGGGAAAATAACAAGTGTTGCTGGGTAAGGGTTAACGAAGGTTAATGGTGATGAGAAAAGACTTACATGTCCCTGGATTCACACGTGCAAAGCACGTGTGTGAAATTCCGGCTATTTTTTTTCAAAAATAGACACTTAAGGGGCGCCGTTAAACAACTACATAAGTTCAGGTAAAAACGTGCAAATTGTGTAAGCTGGGGGGGCACCGTGCAAAACACCCCAAAGTCCAGGGGGTAAAATGCTTTTTACCCTAAAAATTATAATACTCACTCCATCTCATAATATTGAGCGTTTTTTTTTTTCATATTATCTGTAACTTTAAATTTTTAATACGACATTAATGGGTAAATTACAAACACCCCCCTGAGGTATGGTAAAATTACAAAAACACCCCTCTTGTTTGGATAATTACAACCACCCCCTCAACTCCTCAAATTTAGTGAAATCTTTGAGATTATATGGAATATTATCACTTTTGTACCCGTTTTATCCAATTCAAACTCTACATTATGAAGCAATATGAACATAATATGTGATTTTTAGCTTGTATATATCAGTTTGTGGTGCATCGAAAACTGTATTTTTACACAAAACGAGTACAAACTAGAGCACATTTCACGGAATCTAGATGATTATGTTGAATGTGGCACCATAAGGGTGGAGGTGTAAGAAAAAATCATAGTTGAGGGGGGTAGATGTAATTATCCAAACAAGAGGAGGTTTTTTGTAATTTGACCATACCTCAGGGGGGTGTTTGTAATTTACCCCGACATTAATCATTTCTCTCTGCTTATTAATTAGCTTATTAATTAGAAGACAAGGTTATTTTAGTATAAAAGTATACATTTTCCTAAAATCAAGACACATCTAATGAAATTATTAATTCTTGTGCAAAGCTAAAAAGCGACAATTAAACGGGAACGGGGGAGTATTAATATTAAAAAAAAAAAAAAAAAATGAGTTGAAAACGCGAGCTCGAGATCAGAATTGAGAGTCCGAGCTTGATAAATTCAACTTGCGCTCGAAAAACTCTAGTGAGCTCTGCTCGTTTACACCCCCACTTGAAAATCACACTATACGCAATCATTTGAAATCATCTTCATAACCAAATAGCTGTTAGATTCGACATTGGTTCGTATTTTAGAAACATTAGTTCTCAATTATCATCACAACAAAAACAAACAAAATGATCAACAACAAATCAGCAGCTATTTTTAGTAATTTCCCAGGGCCGAAGCAGCATTTTGTTGTTCGCTCCGATGAAGTCAGCATTGTTCTTAACGACTTCGAGTTTGCGTAAAGCTCTAAAAACTTGCTTCATTGCAGGCCTTTCAGATTCGACTCTATAAACACAGTCGAGTGCAATCATAGTAATTTTGTGCCCATCTTCACCACAAAATTCGCTTTCAGACGCCGTACTTTTATGGACAAGCGAAAACTTTGCATCTCTCATTTCACTGTAAGATTCAAACGCTTGGCATTGTCCTAAAGCCCATTCGTAAACAGTTGGTAAACCAGATTGCCTGTCTTCTTCTGTGTATACTCTCTTCGATATCAAACTTAGAAGTATCACCCCAAATGCAAACACGTCTTTTTTGTTCGAGCAATCATCTGTTACAAAACCCGATAATCCTTTTAGATTCATAAATAGGACAAGGGAATCTACAAGTTTTCAAATGTGCAAACTTTTCCCACAAAAAGGGATGCAATGTGTAGGTTTCATTGCAATAAGATAGCTCGATAAACGTTCAACAAGTTTCAAACAATTGATGGGGTGATAGATAATATGGGTAAGATTATAAATTAGTTGTTCAATGAATAGTGCATAGATGGTGAGAATATCCAATATACCTCGACTGGATGCACTAACATCGATGTAGCCATAGCAACCCAATGGGCCGGAATACGATCTTCTATTGGGGAGAATTCCACCACACATCAGCCCGAAGTCGCATAGCCTTGGATTATAGTCCTACATAATTAGTCAACTACTAATCAACCGATTTCTTCATACTAGTACGAAAACCAACGTGCGTACTTAAAAAAACATCAAAACGCACCTCTTCAATCACTATATGAGCAGGATCAAGATTCTGAACTACGAAAGGTGTGAAATATGAAGTAGGGTATTTAGCATGTAGAAATTTGAGAACGGAAGCCAATCCAAATGCCGCTTTGATCCTTTGCAGCCATGTGAAACTATCTACGAGTCGAACACATTTTTCAGGTATTTTTCACAGTGCTACCATTGTAAATTTCGTCGGGGTAGCGTAAACTAAAATCTTAAAATGAATAATAATAACCATTATACATGAACTGCAAACTTTCAAAACTGAACAACATCTCATACGAGAAGCAGTATCTGAATTAACCCAAGATAATGGAAATATCAAGCCAGTTGACTATCAAGTAAATGTGGCTAACAAATTATCCAATCTGAAGGTAAATTGAAGGATAAACTTATCAGATAAGAAATCTTAAGAAGGGGTAAAAATCGAATACCTTTAGGAATGAGGTTAAAAACAGAGTCAAGAGGCTCAAGTAAATAAACAGCAACAAGATGTTCGTCGTCGAAGCAGTATCCATACATCTTTACCATGCACGGATGCTTGATCACAACTTCGTGACGAAGTAAAATGACTTCCTCCTGTACAAGCACATGCGAAACGTGTTCAAAAGGGCGTACGAGATAAAACGTGTCTGAAACAGTATTGAAATTACAAACATACCATTAGTCTGATTTTATTATCCACAGGCTTGAAACTGTATATTTCTGGAACTTCCCATATCTTCACCAACAATTTAGTTGGACAGGTTTTCCCAAGCAGCCCACGATAAAATTTGCCGAACTGGAAACGGCCGATGTAATTGCTCTCACTAAAGTTGTCGGTAAATCCAACCAACTCCTCGTATTCAAATCTTCTAACGTGATCCGGCTGCATATCTAGGCAAATGTTCAAGTAAAAAAAAAAGTCAAATTCTGGTGGATCAAAATTATACTATACATACTTTCTTGTCAATAAAGCAGGTTGTAGAAGATAATTTGAATACATCTACTGTTCGAAATCTTAAACCCCAATATATATCCCCCAAAATATGATTTAACCTACGCGATTCAATTTTCCATAGAAAATCACACAATCAATGGAACTCCAGTAAGTATTCCCAGATAAAAACATCAAGCCCTAGATAATCAAAAAATTGGATTATAAAATATCAAAAAACAAAATTACAAATCAGGTAAAAGAACAAGCGGAATCAAATTAGGGTTCGGGGTATTCTATATTCAACCAAATCATTTAGTTACAACGAATTAATTAATGACATTCTGCAGCTAAAGAAAAACGAAAAAAGAAATGATGCAGTACGCCGGTAAAACTCACCGTCGGCGATTGCCGTTGTTGGAGGATTCTGATTATTTGAGCCGGAGAGAAGCAACGGCGATAACAGAGGGAAGGGTTACAGTTAGTGGTGTGGTCAGTGGTGGATGTAGAAAGGGCGAATGTGTTTTAGGGGTTTATCGCTACAGGAATTATGAGCATGCCGTTTCTGCTTATACGTAAAAGTGCTTTTGATCAACTTATCAAAAGCAAAAAACACAATAAGTGCTTTTTGATCAAGTAAAAAGTGGTAATTTCTCGACTAAGTAGTGCTGGGGTGGAAATCGAACGGATCATTTTTTTTTTTTTAGAACGTGCAAAATCCCAATGCCATTCAAAACGAAAATTTGAAAAAATTGGAATACAAAATTTCGGAAATTGTAATAATAAAAATTGTTCCAAAATAGTAAATTTTTGGATGGCAATTGAGGAAATTCAATTTTTTTTTTTTTTTTTTAGTCACCTAGTATATAAAATACATAATAATATTAATATTACTAGGGGTGAAAGTCGGATGGATCGGATCGGAATTAGCCTTTTCGGAATATTTCCAAAAAAAATCGGAAGTACAAAATCAATTCCAATTCCAATTCCAAAATTTTCGGAATTTATAAATTCATTCCAATTCCAAAACGCTCGGAAATTTCGGAATTTCGGAAAAAAATCGGAAATCACATAAGCTTTAAAATTTCAAAACTTAGCCGAAATTTTCTAAAATGTTCATAATTTTTCGAAAATAAGAGCATCCATGTCGATAAAAGTAAAACTAATAACTACTAAATTTCAGTTCAAAAAAATAAAATAAAATAAACACATCATAATATCCAATAAAATTTCTAACAACAATACATTACGTCAAAATCCTAAAACAAAACTTATAGGTGTATTTTTCAGAAAATAAGTATTATATAATATATACTATTTATAGGTGTATTTTTCGGAATCGGAATTTTTCGGAATTAATTTCAAAATTAAATCGGACCGGAAATCGGAAATTCCAAATTTATTTTATATAATTCCAATTCCAATCCAAAAAAATCAGAAAATTTCGGAAATCGGAATTTCAGAAGTCGGAATGAAAAAAGTTGTTCCAAAATCGGAACTTTTCGAATCGGAACCGGCGGAAATTGGAAAATCCTTTCCAACTTGCACCCCTAAATATTACGAATGTAAAAACGTTGAAATTTTTGAAATATATATTGTGTTGGCGTTTTAGGAATTTTCAATTACCCTTGTTTTTTTTACTTCAATGTTATCTTTTATTCTTGAAGGTGTGTTGTTTCCACCCTCTAAAATTCTCATTTCATCATCTTATTTTAATTTATTAAAATTCTCTTATATCAAATGTCTTAAATATTCTTATAATAATTTCGGCAAATTACGGCGACCTCCGAGGTAATGTTAAATTACGAAAAAAACTCCTCATGCATGTTTGGATAATTACAACCATCTCTCCAATTATATATTGTCTTACAAAAACCCACCTCTTTCAGTAAATTAATTTCACACCATAAGGTAGATGTATAAAACAATACATAGAGTTGAAGGGTGGTTGTAATTATCCAAACAAGACGGGTATTTTCATAATTTGATCTTACCTCAGATGGTGACCGTAATTTGTCCTAATAGTTAAATATTAAGTTAAATCGCCAAAAAAAAAAAATGTCAACTAGTTGAAGTTAACTAATGCTGAATCAAATAACCAGAGCTCTGACGACCCGCTGCCGGGAAAAAAAACAAAGAAACAAAAAGAAAAAAAGAAAAAAAGAAAAAAAATGAATGTCAACTATTGAAGTTAAGTAACACTCAGTCAGCTAACCGGGGCTCCAACCACCACTGGAAAAAGAAAAGAGAAACTAAAAAAATAAAATTATTATTTTTAAATAAATAAAATAATAAGATAAAATAAACCCTAAAAGGGTATGGATTAATTATTTGAATTTATATTTGAAACTTAGAAGTAGTGGATTTTACACAAAAAATTAAAAAAAAACATAAACTTATTCGACATTATGGCCTCGCTTGCTTAATGCTATTCAACTCTATTAGGTAAATAATAGGGGTTAGAAAGATGTTTGGTTGATGAGATTCGTATTTAGCCTAGCCTGCAATTAAATACTATTATTTGGTTAAATTAGTAGCACTTCCCAGCGATTAATTTAGTAGATGGGATCAAAAGAAGAAAA